GATGAAAAATTACCTGAAAAGTTTTTTCAATCTTTTTTTTCGTGTGAAAATAATTGATTTTTTTTCTCCTTTCTTTCTTTCTTCCTTACCTGAATTTCTATCAGAAATCCAATTCTGTTGATATATGACGGTTGTGATGAATTTTTTTCTTTGCCATTTTTATCTTCTTTGTGATTCTTTTCAATTCCATATTCTTTATTTTTCAAAACCCGAAAAAAACCCGAAAAAAATAAATTAAAAATCAAACAACAAGAATCGATCATAATCATGTTTTTTTGGTGGCTCATTTATCACTTTTATTTCGAATGTTTCTTAAAAGAATCTCTTTTTGAAAAAAAAATCCTAACACTGGACATTTCATTATTCATTCTTTTCTTTTTTGGTCAGTTCTTTCTGCAAGATTCTCTTTCTCCTTTTCTCCTTATAGTTGTTAAGTTAGTTTTTCATTTTTTTTTGGCTATAGCATCCCTTCTAGGCAATCATCAAATGTTGTTGATGATGTTGTAATCCAATGGAAAACACCATGCAAACATACATTGAATTTTACTTTTTCTTTTGGTTGTTGTTGTTGTTGTTGTTGTTATTGTTTATCTTTTTCATTTCAAAAGAATTTACTTACTTACTTACTTAATATTTTCTTCTTCGTTGTCTATACGGCTCGAGGACATTTCAATGGAACGCACCAAGCACTGGTTAAAAGGTGTCCAAGGTTTTCTGTTGAAAGAAAATTTCCCAGCAACAAGAAAAGAATTCTGACCATTTTATTAGATGAATTATTTTTTTTTTAATGTGGCTATTTTAACTCCCCCCCAAAAAATGATTGTCATCCAGAATAGCCATTAAGCTATTTTAACTGAAACAACAACAACAACAACAACAACAAAAAAAAGATGTTTTATTTTCAATCAACAACCAAAAGAAATAAGAAAATGAAGTGTACCAAAAGTTTTCGAAAACTTTCCGAAGAACAAAAAAAAACTTTCAACTTTTTTTTTCTCTCTCTCTTCAGTTCAGTTTTAGTTTGGTTAGTTAGTTATCCTTGTTACTTTTCGTAAGAATCCATAAGATGATGATGATGATGTAAAGATGTGAAGATCCATTAGAGTTGTTGTTGTTGATTTTTGTTGTTGTTGTTGTCGTTTTTTTTGTTGTTGTTGTTGTTTTTCATTTTATTTATACATGACATGATGATGATGATGATGATGATAACTTTATTATTATTTGATATTTTTTGATGATGATAATGATTCCAAAGAAGTGATGTGATGTGATGATGATGATGAAGAAGAATATTTTTCTCCACTTTTTTTCTGCTGAGTAATGTATATATTCTATTTC